GGGGGGGGGAGGCAGAAAGCTCTTGGAGCAGTGAGTGTGAAAACGTAAAAAAAGCTGAACCGACTGTACATGCTCTTCCTCTTGTCCAATTTATCCTGTGTGGCAAGTTAGGCTGAGAGTCAGTGCCCAGCTCAATGTTATACCAGCAGAGTCAAGACTGGGAAGTAGTATAGGAACACCTCTTTTTTAAACACCCAAAAATTGAATGTATATTCCAAAATTGTTTTATGTTCCAAAATCAGTTTTTAAAACCCTACCTTACGAAAAAAAGTATTTCAGCATTACGCTTGTTTCCGGCAAGGCAAAGAGGGAACCTGAAACTCTAAAACTGAGCTTTCAAATACCGCTTCCCAATAGTGTTCTCTTGGGCCACCCAAATTCCTCTTCCTAAGTGATGCTGAATGGTCCCTGTGGGTAAAAATAAATTATTCTGTTCTCCGTCTCACCCTCTTGCTTACCTTGGCATGATTAGCAACGATACAGTTCTCGCAAACATTCACCCGGTGCTCGAAACAGAACAGGTTTGTGACCTTCCTCTTGGGACATTTACAGAGTCCCATGGTGGTGAAGTCAAGTCCTGGGTTGGTACCAAGGTGGGCTGGGCAAAAAGAGAAATCACAGAAAAAGGGGTTGCAGCTTTGGCTTTTCAGCCCCCTTCCTGGGCCAACTCCTCTCACAGTTAAGAGACTCCCACCCCAGAATGCAAAACACAACGCCCACCCCAACTTTCCCTCACTCGTTCCGATTCACGCAGCTTCGCCAGCAAAAGACTCAAGATTATGTATCACTGCTATCTAAACCAGGGGTGTATGACCACTTTTCAGCCATGGGTCCAATTCGATTTCTCAAAAAATCTCAGGCTGCATTCCATGAGTCAGTGGGGGCAAGGGGGGAGCCAAAATATAACGAACTTCAGCATATTTTAGCTTAGAGCTAATACCAAGGGCTGGATCAGGACCTCAGGTGGGCCAGATCTGCCCCACAGGCCTAGGTTGGTCCACGTCTGGTCTACGTTTCAGCTTGCCCTCTTGCGATCTTTTTCTTCTATAATAAAGAGAACACAGTATTCTAACTCTATGCCCAAGTAAGCACTTTATTAGCAATATCTGCAGTTACTGCTCCATATTCTTTCTTTCAGGGCTTTCTTCTTTCTTTCCTTCATTCCTAGCAAAGCTCCTATTGCTTTCAGTAACTGAATGACGGGTAACAGGTGATATTTAGGAAGACAGAAGTTCAAGAACAGGAAAGTTTAACTTTCCGAATTGCTCTATTGAGAAGCAACCCCAGCCAGGTCATGTATTGCTTAGTCCCTTGTAAGTGAGTGGGGGCTTGCAGCCTTGACCTTAAGGAAGCCAGCAGTCCTGAGAATGCAGCTCCCACCTTCTTCACAAGGGAAAGCCAGGCCCCCCCGCTCTCCGGACTCCCGCGCTTCTGCTGCCCCAATGAGCCCAGGACTCCTAGCCACAGTATCGGCCACGCCATCTCTGTCCTCCACCCCCACCTAGAAAGGAATCCACAGATTTGAGTGGGAATGCCGCCCAGGCAGGAAACGGACCCAGGCGTCCCGGTGACACCGAGCCCCGCCCCCTCAGAGGAACCCAGGCGTCCCGATGGCAGGAGCCCCGCCCCACAGAGGAACCCAGGCGCCCCGGTGGCCCCGATCCCGCCCCCAGAAGGGGACC